AGATGGTCATTAGTCATTCCCATTCCACACCTTTGGACCATGTGTCCAGGAGGAGGAGACCCTGATTGGCCAGTCATGGTCATGTGCATATGCTGGGCGGGGTCTTAAACCAGTACTTCAGTGCCCACTGAATCACAGGGAGCAGAGGAGGCTCTGTTCGGCAGCATGTGGAATCTTCCCAGACCAGGGCTTGAACCCGTGTCCCCTGCATTGGCAGGCGGATTCTTAACCACTACGCTACTAGGGAAGTCCCTAAAATTTAAATCCATCAAAAGTCACCTCCTCCAGGATGCATTTCAAGCTCTCTTGTCTAGCAGTTTGCAAGTACTTTTATTATTGTTCAGATTGTGTGGTAATGTGAGATTCTTTTTCTAGCTGGAGTCTACCTGGTGGACTCTTGGTCCATGTGTAAAACCTTTCGTGGAATGCCCCTTCATTCTCCAGCCGTCCCACCCCCAGCCGCCTGCCAGGATCCAAGGCTTTATTCAGCTTCACAAAGTTTTGTAGAGCAAGATGAAGGAGGAAGACAAGCCCACAGATTTTTCACAGAGGCTGAGAAGCCTGGGAAATAAGAGAAGACCGGGAGATGGGGGTGCTGCTGAAAAGTCAGACAGCATTAATCCAGGGGACTCCCACAGCTTTTGCAGATGGCAGCTGTGCAAACATTCATCCCAATTGAAACCGCTAGGTGGCGTTTCAGGGGGCTCCAAAGAGCTCTGGTTCTTTATGTCTCAGCACAGAAAGAATTCAGTGAGGCAAAGTGTTAGATAAGAAGTGATTTATTAGAAGAGGACGCTTGTGAGGCTTACAAGCGGGTGGGTGAGAGGGTGCCCCGCCCTGAGAACTCAGTGGGCTACAGTTGTATAATCAAAGGAAAAGTGAGGCGGGGGGAAAGACCACCGTCTTCCTCATTCTTGAGTAGACGTCATGCTGCCATCATTAGTCCTCCTCTATGTCGGGCGGAGGGGTTTTCTCTGTCATGGGACTATGGAAAAATTATTCCAGGTCTCAGTACAATGAGGGTCTTTCACTTTGAAATATCACCTTTCCATAAATTATTGTTTTTTATGTGTACAGAGAGCATGTCCTAGGGGTCATTAACTTACTGAGCTCACTGGGCAGGATGTGGGTCTCATGCCACCATTGTTTTATAGTTTGGGGGCATGTCTCTTGCTTCTGTTGCATGGTTTTGTTGCTAAGCAAGCCTGCTTGACTTTGTGGTTAAGCAAACCTGCTTTCTTGAGTAATCGTTAACTTACAGGGGTTTCCCATACTTTTTTTTTTTTTTTGCTTACAATCCCCTAGTGGGATTAACTATTTAATCACCTACTTTACTCTGCCCCATCAGAATAACTGAGGGAGGACTTTCCTGGTGGTGCAGTGGTTAAGAATCCCCCTGCCAATGCAGGGGACACAGGTTCGAGCCCTGGTCCATGAAGATCCCACATGCCGCGGAGCAACTCAGCCCATGCGCCACAACTACTGAGCCTGCACTCTAGAGCCCGCGAGCCACAACTACGGAAGCCCACGTGCCACAACTACTGAAGCCCACGCGCCTAGAGCCGGTGCTCCGCAACAAGAGAAGCCACCGCCATGAGAAGCCCACGCACCGCAACGAACAGTAGCCCTCGCTCACCACAACTAGAGAAAGCTCGCACACAGCAACGAAGACCCAACGCAGCCAAAAATAAATAAAATAAATTAAAAAAAAAAAAGAATAACCGAGGGACGTTGCATGTTCCATTTGTGGGGAGGGCATGCTTGTGCCAAGCCAGTGAGGCTCTTGCTGTGCCAATCATGACCAGAAACACTGTCCTTCTGCCAAGGTAACCGGATTTCCCTAGTAAATCTCTTACTTTCCACCTTGTTTACAATGAGTTCGGCCCTTAGAGAACACTTTGCCTCTATGTCCTTATTTCTAATCTTTCCGCTCAACCGTTAACTCCAGTGAAGGCGCTCAGCAGTCAGATGCATCTAGCCTAAAGCTGAAGATGCGGTGGTTCTCACTGCTGGAAAATTACAGAGGGGCCGACCACAGCCCCAGCAGACGCTTTTATAACTGGAAACTGTCATTGGTGTCACCTGAAAGCTGGGTTCACCTCTTGTTGTCTGTCAAGCCAAAAGATATAACTTTTTTAAAAAGATTTATTATTTGTTTATTTTTGGCCGCGTTGGGTCTTAGTTGCAGCACGCGGGATCTTCGTTGTGGCACGCGGGGTTTTTTGCTGTGGTGCGCGAGCCCTTCGCTGTGGTGCCGGTCTTCTCTCTAGTTGTGGCGTGTGGGTTTTCTCTTCTCTAGTTGTGGTGCGCAGGCTCCAGGGCACGTGGGGCTCTGTAGTTTGCAGCACGCAGGCTCTCTAGTTGAGGCATGCGGGCTTAGATGCCCCTCAGCGTGTGGGATCTTAGTTCCCTGACCAGGGATTGAACCTGTGCCCCCTGCATTGGAAGGCGGATTCTTTACCACTGGACCACCAGGGAAGTCCCTAAAAGACACAACTGTTATTACCAAGGCTGTTTCTCCAGAATCATCCACCTACCCCTCCCTCGAATGGAAACTAAGTCTCTTATTTAAGTTTCAGGAGGAAGCTGCAAAGAGAAAAACAAGAAGTGGTTAGAACCAACTAGGCCCAAGATGGTGGAAGATTTGACTTCCAGTAGACCTTAAGCCTCACTGTAATGAATTACCATGCTGAATGACACACCCACTAGCGCCATGACAGTTGACAATTGCCATGACAACTGGAAGAGCCCGGACAAGGACTGAAAAGGAGTATTGCATCAATTCCGCGTCCAAACCACACCCCTGTTGTTGGATAACTCACGAATAGTCATTCTCTCTTTCCAATTCACTCTCTTTTACCTCTCCTATATATATGATGTCTCCACCTGAGTTGGGTTGAGAAGTTGATTTGAGAAAAGTTCCTCTTCTCCATTCTTTCTCTTTTTTTATTCATTTATTTATTTTATTTATTTATTTTTGGCTGTGTTGGGTCTTCGTTGCTGCACGTGGGCTTTCTCTAGTTGTGGCGAGCGGAAGCCACTGTTCGTTGCGGTGCGCGGCTTCTCACTGCAGTGGCTTTTCTTGTTGCGGAGCATGGGCTCTAGGCACACGGGCTTCTGTAGTTGTGGCTTGTGGGCTCTCAAGCGCTCAGTAGTTGTGGCGCACTGGCTTCATTGCTCTGCGGCATGTAGGAACTTCCCGGACCAGGGCTTGAACCCGGGTCCCTGCATTGGCAGGCAGATTCTTAACCACTGTGCCACCAGGGAAGCCCCTCTTCTCCATTCTTTAGCCATTGAATAAAGCTTGTCTGTTCCAGTCTCAGCATCGGTTTCATTATTGGCTGTGCGAATCCAAGCAGAAAAAACCTCCTTGGCAGAGACCAGGGGTCTCAGCTGGCCAGGACCCTGGCACAGGTCCAGTCGACCAATTCAATATCACAACCAAGCCAAAGACCAGAAGGAAGGATTTATTACTTGCAGCAAGAGAACATGGAGGATCTTTCCCTAAGTAGCATCTCCCCAAACAGCAAACTTGGGGCAGTTTTAAACTAAGGGCACATGCATACTTCATGAAGGGGCTTGGGTGGTGTATGCACATTCATGAAGGGACTTGAGCAGAGGAGAATTCAACATAGAATAGGGGCAAAGGTTGACAGAGTCCAAGCTTTAGTTGATTGAAGTCACCAGGGTCAGAAAAGGTCAACATCATCATTCCTTAATTTTCCACCAGTCTGTGGTCTTAGCATATAGTTACCACCCTCCACCTGGGTGGGGGTCCTTAGTTCCTGTAGTACAACTCAAAGATATGTATCAGATTAAGTCTATCCCTTAAGGAGGAACTAGGACTCCTGTTTTATCGCGGAATTATTGTTTCTTGATGGCTTTCCTCCATTCCTTTTTTCCTTTAAGATCATTAATTACTGAGACCTGTTCAAAGGCAAGCATTGTGGTCAGGCTTAGATCACAAAATGGCTTAGGCTGAAAATGGCTTCTCTTATGTCAAAAAGCTATATCGGGTTCTTTTCCTCCTGGGAACACCCACCCACCCACACACACACACACACACACACACACACACACACACAACTGCTTACACTGGGACCTCAGTCTTCCCAGAGATATGAGGAACACCTTCCCTGGAGAGGCGGATGGAGCACAGGAATCCAGCAGAGATCAGTGGAGCTTGCTCCTAAGAACTGGCCTGTCCCCTCCTCTCCCAGCCCTGTAAGCCACTCCAGGGTCCCCTGGACCTGCATGTAGTGGTACCTCTCCGCCCCTTGCCCACGCTCAGACCCTAGGCTCTCAGTCGATCAAAGCCTGCATGTGTTAAATGTCTGAAGTATGGCAGGACACCCCTGCTACTTTTGACCTTTTGCTCTGATTCCATTTGAAAGAGAAATAGCACTTATACGATGTAAAGCAAACAAGGCTGTATGAGAATTGCTTGAGCATGTGCGGCGCGGGGATGATGGCGCGCGTTACAGGACAATGCCCAGAGGACCTCAAGGAGCTCACTTGGTATAAGCTGTCCTCAAAACATCTACGTTTTTCCCGAGAGCAGGAGGGAAGTTCTAAGTTGCGCCTGGGCTCTGCCCACCGGGCTACTCTGATGCCCTGGGGGAGGCAAAAACGGGGTAGGCGTTGGTCCCATTTTACAAGTGGGCAATCTTCGCTGAAGGAGGCCATGTGTCGGCCCCAATTCTACGCAGATAGTGCTGCGGCCAGATAAGGTCAGAAACCCAGAAGCCAGGATCTCGTCTGACGCAGACCCTGCGAGAGGCAGGCAGTGAGAACGCACTCCGCCCGGTGTCTGTGGCGTTGCCTCTCTGCGCCCAACAGGAATGCGAGAATCGCGAGTCTCCCAGATCACGTCTCTGCTCCCGGCCTGGGAACCCTGGAGCGTCCAAGCGCGCTGGCCCCGCCCCGCGGTTCCTCCGCGCCCCGCGATTGGCTCCGAGGGCCAGGGCGGGGCCGGACGCCCAGCCGACGTGATGGACGGCGTCAGGCGCCGCGGGAACCGCTTCCTGTTGTCAGTAGTCCGGAGGCCGCAGCGTCCGGTCGGAGTCTTAGGGGCTGCAGCGACCGGGAGTGCCCCCGCCCCCCTCCCCACTCCGTTTGGTGAGTTAGGGGTCGGGGGCGAGGCGGGCAGCAGAGGGGCGCCGAGGCCGGGACGGGAACAGGCGAACAGGGAACAGCAGCCCTCTCCGTGATCCCAAACCCCTGGTTACCTTGAGACTGTCCTGCTTCAGAGTCCTCACCCTTCCCAGCCCAAGCCCCGCGCCCCACTCCAACTAGCCTTCGGCCCGCACTGCCGCTGCTGGCCTCTCCCCTCTATTTGCCGCTCGTGACCTGACCCCAGCCCTTATCCCCACCCTCTCACTGCCGGTCTTGCGGAAATGCAGCCGCCCTGTAGCCCCCTTCCAACCCCGACCTTGGCCACATCCCTCCGCCTCCCTCTAACACAGCTCGTCTTCACCTGTCAACCCCTTTGGCCGTGCTAATGCTGCACACAGGCCTCCTCGGGACCCACCATTCCGGTTTGCCCTTTTCGGGATCAGCTTTCTTATCCGAATCTCCCACACCCCGCTGGTCAGCTCCCCACCTCTGTCCCACTCTCATTTAAGACCCACCACTAAAGTAGATGCCCTGTTGAGCACACCCTTTTCTTTTTGATAACTCTGATCTCAGCCCTATCCCAAGTCTTACACGTATCTTGTCCTCACAGACTCAAACCCTAACTTCCTAGCCCACCATACACTTCCTTTCCATCTCCAGCCATCAGAGGACACCCCCATCCCTAAGTCTTTGCTAAACCACCCCCAACTCTTGGTGCCCCAGTTACTACCACCCTCAGCCAATCTTATTAAAAATGAGATCTCCTGCCCTTTCACTTCTGCTGTCCCCACCTCAGCTCTACACCCATTTTTCTCTTGACCCTCGTCCCCATTCAATCTGAGAATTTAGTGCAGAGTCCCCTGCCAACCCCACCGGCTGCCCCTCAACAGCCAAATTTAGGTGCTTCCTGGGAGCCCAGCAGTTAGAGACTGAGCACCTTGATGGGTGCATGCAGGGCCTCAGGTGGTAACTAAGTGTGGAGAAGTAGAGATCCGCCCTCGGGTCAGGGTCAGGGATTTTTTTTCCCGGGTGTCTTGTCCCCTGTACCTGCTCCCAGCGATTATGGGTCTAGCGTTCATATTAAATGACTTGTGCTACTGCTGGAATGGTGGGTGTCGCCCACATACCTGGAAGGTGAGGAATGGCCACTCACCTAGCTCACTCACAGCCTGGGCCAATGGAAGCCATCACTTCCTTTTGGCTGGTTTTCTGGCCCAGGAGAAACTCAGGGAGTACCACTGTGTGACTATGGTCACAGAACCACGTCCATGTGTGTTGTCCTGGCACTTGTAAAGGACCCTCCTCACCCAGTGTTCCTCCCGGCTGGAGCTGACAGCAGACCTGTCCCAATGCTTAACACAGGGAACACAGTGGACGCCAGAGATGATGTTACACGTTGTGAAGAGTGTAGGTGAGAGGGTTCCCAGGAGGCGAAGGCGAGTACAGAGGCTGTTGAATCACTTCCTCTTTTTGCAGGTGCTGAATCTTTGAGTTTTGGCCATTTGGTTACCCATGAACGTGGGGAGTTGAGATATCTGAGTAGCTGAGGCAGAGGGACATTCTTGAGGCACCCGGGCCCCAAGCTCAGCATTTATCATCTCCTGGGCTTTTAGGGCACACATTCTCTCCGAATTCTAGTGACCTGGCTTCAGAGGGTTGGCCGTCTGGCAGCAATTTTAAAGGGCCCCAGACAGGACCCGCTGTCTTTGCTTTTGCCGTTTATAGTCTTGTTCCTTTGAAAGTTGAAGCTCTCCCTTCAGTGTCCCCCCACCCCACCCCCTATTAAGGTGCAATATATCAGAGTGGTCTCAGCCTGCTGGCAGGGTGATTTAATGAAAGGAGTTGCATCGTGGCTGAGAATTCTATACCTCAGCTTTCCTCGGTCTGTGAAATGGAGATAACCTGCCCCTGAGCCTTATTTTTGTTTTATTCTTCTGTTCATTCAGCAGGTATTTTCTGAGCACCACTGCGTGCTCTGTGTTGTTCTAGGCACTAGAAATGTAATGGTGAACGAGTTGAGCAAAGTTCCTGTTTTTAGTCATTCAGAGTTTGATCCTTGCTGGAATCCTAAGGATGGGACAGAAATATGGGGGAGATGGGTATTATTGAATGGAAGGAAGGAGGGGGGAAAGAAAGTTACCCCCTGTTCACTGATTCACATTTCTGGGCTCACTCACTAGCCTTTGGTTTGGGAATCACAGGCTAGACGTTTCTTGCCCTCCAGCTGGTATCCAATTGCTTCAAAGATGCAGTTCCCCAGCACACTCTCTGCATCCCCCGCCCTCCAGGACACTTGTCCAGAAATCCAGCCTTTTACAGGTGGGAGGAGGTGCAGTTTACTCAGCACTAACATGTCTGAAAGATCAGCTGCCTTTCTGAATCAGAAGATAACTTTGTCATTCTTTTCCAACTGATAACTTTGTCATTCTTTTCCAACTGAAAATCATGACTCATCAACTGGTACAGCAGCTGGATGGCTTAAACGTCAGGCTGTTTGTTCTGAACAGCCCGGTACAGGATTGGATTCAGGCTGTAGAGAGGAGGCTGTTGAGAATAGCTGAGAAGTCTCTAAGGAGGAGAGGTTGCTGTTTACCTATGGATGGAGTGTTTCAGAAGCGGGGAAGCCAAGCCATCCATTTCTTCTTTTAATGTAAGTCTCATATAAGCCATTTTTTTTCTTTCTTCCTTGGTCTCTGAAAGAAGTGAAATTGGATGTTTGCAGAAGCCCAGGCAGTATAATAAAGAAAAGCAACCAGAACAATTCCTTCCTGTGTGTTGGAACATTTAAGAAAGGACAGCTGTGAAACCTGTGTACCATGGAAAGGATGTGGCCTCAGCTGGTTGGGACTACAGACCTGATGGGTAAGATTGTTTCTTGTTGATTTTAGCCTTATTTGATAAAAATGGAGCTTTCTGAGTACTAAGTTAATTATTACCTAGTCTATAAGTAATCAGTTTGCCTGAAACTCTTGGAACCAGAGACCTGAGACAGTTTGGTCTGGTGAAGTCTGACACAAGACTTAGAATGAGGAAACCAGACAGTTTTGTCCCTTACCTGGGGCTCTTTTCTGCTGAGCCTTAGTCTTCTCCTCTGTAAAACGGGGATAATCATCCTTCTCTCACAGGATTGTTTTTTGTTTTTTTTAATTTATTTATTTATTTATGGCTGCGTTGGGTCTTCATTGCTGTGCGCAGGCTTTCTTTAGTTGCAGAGAGCAGGGCTACTCTTTGTTGTGGTGCATGGGCTTCTTGTTGTGGTGGCTTCTCTTGTTGCAAACCATGGGCTCTAGGCACATGGGCTTCAGTAGTTGTGGCTCTCGGGCTCTAGAGTGCAGGCTCAGTAGTTGTGGCACACGGGCTTAGTTGCTCCGTGGCATGTGGGATATTCCCAGACCAGGGCTCGAACCCATGTCCCCTGCATTGGCAGGCAGATTCTTAACCACTGCACCACCAGGGAAGTCCCCAGGATTGTTTTAAGAATTAAATGAGATTAGAGAAGCTAGGAGAGCCATGTCAGGATGAATCAATACTTACGGGGAGAGGTAGACTTCTCGTGGTTAGGAGTTGCCTAAAAGGCAGACAGAAGTCACCTTTTCTGCTAAACTCCACCAGTAATGTTTGAAGAGCTCTTTGGTAATGTTGCCCACGTTCTCTCCTTAACTCTTTTTAGCCTAGGTCTCCTTGCAGCCACGCCTCTCTTTGCTTTGGCTTTTGGTGTCAATGAAGACTGTTCTGGGGACAGGAAGTGAAACCAGTCCCATAGGAAGGTGGACTGGGGGTCTGGAGAATGACGGAGTGCTGACCCAGCAGTCAGGAGACCCAAAGCCCCCTTATGGTTCCGTCAGCAAGTTCTCGTGTCTCCTGCGCCCTGAGGCATGATGGAGCAGACCCACATAGGTGGGGTGCTTTGGCTTCTTGCAAAGAAAGTTGTGCCCTGGATTGTGGCCCGAACCCCAAAGCCTCAGTCCTGTTTTGTGAATTGTCAAGTGGCCATTCTCCTTCTGGACTCCTCTGCACCGTCGTCAGTCATTTTGTGGCTTTTCTGACTCTTGGTTTTAGGGGGTGAATACATGTCTTCCCCTGCTCTGACCTCTCAGCATCAGTTTGCTTTGGGTTTTTAGCAGACCCTTACTGGGCTGGAGGACCCACTTACTAACAGGCCTCCCTCCGTCCCATGAATACTATTTTTAGTTAATTAGTCAATGAGGCTTTAACGGATCCGGGCTGTTCTTCAGATTGTTGAGGCCTGAGCCCTTCCTGGCCTGGCCCGTGGCTGGCTGAGGGAAGGGCAGTTTCGCAGCTTGAGGCTCTAGAAGGGCAGGCCGGAGGGGAGGCCTTCGGCTGCTGGAATTGCTGAAGGCGATTGGAACCCAGGGTCTTGGAGCCAGAGAACCTGGATTTGGCCTCCTGGGCTGCACAAGGGTGGCCTGGAAGGAACATTGTCCAGAGGGACTGTCTGCAGCACATGTCCCCTTGTCTGGGGCGCTGGTGGCTGGAGTGTGGAGGAGAGCCCTGAAGAATCCCTGGTAGGTGGGAGGGGGGTGAGGTGAGGGTGAGGTAAGTCAGACAAGGCCTGAGGCCGGGGGCCCGTGTTCTGGGGTCTCTCACACCCTGACCAGAGTTGGCTCTGCGGGGGCCGCCCTCCACACACCTCCCTCCCTCTGCATGTCCTTACTTGGAGAGGTTGGCTCTGGGTCCTGTTTACCCACTGCCCACTCCACAGGCCAGGGATTGAGTCAGAGCAGCTCCTACCATTTAGGGCCACTCTGCCTCTCTCATCTCCAAGCATCATGCTCGTGTCCCCCTGTAAACCTCTCCTGCCAGACTGACCTCAGTGTTCCACTGTGGCCTCTCACCGGGGCCCCCGGCTGAAGAGCCCTCCTCCCAGGCCTCCCCTGCCCCCTCGCCAGTCGCCCCCTTAGCCCCAGCCCACACCCGCCTCTTCCAGAAGGGAGGTGGTCGCACTCCTCCTGGAATCTGGGGGTTTCTCTTGGGCTTGGGTTGCTGTTGTCCTGGCGGCGGCTGGTAGAGTTGGCCACTTACCAGCCCTGGGATCTTGGGAATTTCCCAAGCTTCTATTTCTTTTTTTAAAAATTTATTTATTTATTTAATTTTGGCTGTGTTGGGTCTTCGTTTCTGTGCGAGGGCTTTCTCTAGTTGCGGCGAGCGGGGGCCACTCTTCATCGCGGTGTGTGGGCCTCTCACTGTCGCGGCCTCTCTTGTTGCAGAGCACAGGCTCCAGACGCGCAGGCTCAGTAATTGTGGCTCACGGGCTTAGTTGCTCCGCGGCATGTGGGATCTTCCCAGACCAGGGCCCGAACCCGTGTCCCCTGCATTGGCAGGCAGACTCTCAACCACTGCGCCAGCAGGGAAGCCCAGCTTCTACTTCTTACCTGTCAGACTGAGATGATAAGACACTCCTAGGATGGTTATCAGGAATGAATGGGGTAACACATGTAAAGGGCACAAAACCCATTTAACCGGTCTTGGTTTTACTAACTTCTTTGGGCCATGGGTTCTTGAGAGCAGAGAAAGCAGGAACCTGATTTTCTCTCTCTTTATTATTTTTTGTTGGTGGTGGTGGTGTCCCCTCATGCTTAGCTGTGTGGCCACTAGAGATTTGTTTAGATGTGAGTGTGCCTGTCCAGTCCTGCCCTGTGCAAGTTCCCGGGGTGGGGCAGGCCAGGCAGCAGCCCCTTCACGCTCAGGCCGCAGTCCTCGCCCCCACCCCACCCTTGGCCTCAGCCACCCCGGGAGAGAGCCAGCTGCCCCGAGAGATTTCTCTGCGTACTGACTTCAGCTGCTAGCACACGCTTAGTTAGGTAGTGGCATTCTTCGCCTGTAGATTTGGGCGGCCGCATCCACTGGGGTTAGAGATACCATTTATCCTCGGTAAATATCAGGCCCTGCGCTCAGCGTTTTCCATACTCACAGTCTCCCCTTAAGAGGTCTGATACATGCCCCAGTGTGCCTAGCTGGTTAGTGGCAAATTGAGATCAGAACCCGTGTTGTTCCCCTTCAGACGTGTCCCTGTGCTGCTCAGGCTAGACCTTTGCAGCCCAAAGGAGAAGCGGCTGTGTGGCGAGAGAGCCCTTCCTTTTGAAGGCGTTTCAGTTGTACTTTTCCCCACTGAGCTGGCCGACCCTGGGATGGGACGGGAGTCGGGACAGTTGCAGAGCCCAGGCCCTGAATGTGAATTGTGAGCCCCTGCTTCCCGGCCCCTGTGGGTTCTTGGCACCTTCAGCTGCAGCATCCCCCCTTGCAGCCTCAGATCTGTATCTAAGTTAGCCTTTTTTTTTTTAAAATAAATTTATTTATTTATTTATTTTTGTCTGTGTTTGGTCTTCATTGCTGCACGCGGGCTTTCTCTATTTGCAGCAGGCAGGGGCTACTCCTCGTTGCGGTGTGCGGGCTTCTCATTGCTGTGGCTTCTCTTGTTGCGGAGCACGGGCTCTAGGCGCGCGGGCTTCAGTAGTTGTGGCACACGGGCTCAGTAGTTGTGGCTCACAGGCTCTAGAGTGCAGGCTCAGTAGTTGTGGCACACGGGCTTAGTTGCTTCGCGGCATGTGGGATCTTCCCAGACCAGGGCTTGAACCCATGTACCCTGCATTGGCAGGCGGATTCTTAACCACTGCGCCACCAGGGAGGTCCCTAAATTAGCCTTTTATTCCCTGCTTTTTTGTGCCAGCATTTGGAGTGGCGTCAAGAGCCCTTTCTACCCACCCTTTGGGATAGACCCGCCCATGGCACACCCCACGAAATCTTTTTTCCTTCCTTGTTTCCATCCTTAAAATCCACTCTCAGTTTTTACTTTTGTATTGAAAGTCCTTGCAGTTGCAGGTTGAGTAAGATGGGGGTGGGGCGTGGGGAGGAGATCGTTTGGGCACAGTGACTGTTCATCCGGCCGTGTCTGTCCCTGTAGGTGTCATGTGATTCTTCTGGGGAGCTGCTGCTTGAGTGGAAATGCTCTCAGCGGTGGAGAATGGACTGGACCCCCGGGCTGCCATCCCGGTAGGCAACAAGGGAGAATCAAGGGTGGGGGAAGGGGTGCCTGGGACAGCCATTTCATTGTTTTTTCTCACTTTGAAATGCATTTGCACTGTTCAGAAAGAGAGGCCTGGAGTTGAGAAAAAGTGATAGCAGAAGCAGGCTCCGAGGAGAGCCTGCCCTTTCTAGATCATCTTATTGGTGATAAAATGGAGATTTACAAAAAACAATGGAGATTGCATGTAGGTTACCTGAGGACCAAGGATTTCTCCTAGGAAGATATACAAATGACCAATAAGTACATAAAAAGACGCTCCACATCATTAGACATTAGACAACGGCAAATCAAAACCATAATGAGGAAAACAGAAATAGAGTCACTACGGACGTAGAAAACAAACTCATGGTTACCGGGGACAAGGTGTGGGAGGGATAAATTGGGAGATTGGGACTGACGTATACACACTACTATATATAAAATAGATAACCAATAAGAACCTGCTGTATAGCACAGGGACTCCACTCAGTACTCTGTAATGGCCTGTATAGGAAAAGAATCTAAAAAAAAAAAGGTGGATATATGTCTATGTATAACCGATTCACTTTGCTCTACACCTGAAACTAACACAACATCGTACGGCAACTATACTCCAATACAAATTTTATTTTAAAAGTAAAATAGTAAGAAAAAATAATCATAATGAGGGACTTACCCAGTGGTTCAGTGGTTAAGACTCCGTACTTCCAGGGTGGGGAGGTATGGGTTCAGCCCCTGGTTGGGGAACTAAGATCCCACACGCCGTGCGGCGTGGCCAGAAAAAAAAAAAACAACATAATGAGATACTTCTTCATATCCACTAGGATGACTGTAATCGAAATGGCAGACAATAATAAGTATTGGTGGGGTTGTGGAGAAGGTGGAACTCTCATACCTTCCTGGTGGGAGTGTAAAATGGTACAGCCATTGTGGAAAACAGTTTGATAGTTCCTCAAAAAGTGAAACATAGAGTTGCATGTGACTCAGCAATTCCACTCCTAGGTATACACCCAAGAGAATTGAAAATATATATTTACACAAAAAACTATGAACATGAATGTTCATAGCAGTGTTGTAGCCAAAAAGTGGAAACAACCCAAATATCTATTAATTGATGAATGGATAAATATAATGTGATATATCCATGCAATGGAATATTATTTGGCAATAAAAAGGAATGAAGGACTGATATATGCTACCACACAGACAAACTTGAAAACGCGCTAAGTGAAGTCAGACACAAAAGGCTGCATATCATATGATTCCATGTATAAGAAATGTCCAGAATAGGCAAATCCATAGAGACAGAAAGTAGATCAGTGGTTGCCAGGGGCTGGGGGAGAGGGAATAGTGAGTGACTGCTGATAGGTACAGGGTTTCTTCTGGGGGTCATAAAAATGTTCCAGAATTAGATAGCGGAAATGGTTGCACAATTCTGTGAATGTACTAAAAACCACTGAGCTGTGTATTTCAATGAGTGAATTTTATGATATGTAAATTATGTCCCATTAAAGCTGTTCTAAAAAAGGAACATTTAACTTTTCAAAGAACATTAACATTAATTGTGTTGGCTAAAATAAAAGTGAAACAGTGAAATATTTGTCCATAATCCTATCACCTAATAATTCAAACCAGTTTTTCTGCAATCCCTTCCAGTCCTTTTCCAAACCCTTAGGTAATTTTGACATATGTACTTATATTATGATAGAACGATCTTAACTATGTATTTTCAAAGGACTTTAGGTATATTTTATAATTTATTCATTTAGCAAACATTTACTGAGTACATGTGCCAAGAACCAGGCCCATTGTTGAGGGCACGAGGATGAGTAAAAAACTAGTCCTGGGCTTCCCTGGTGGCGCAGTGGTTGAGAGTCCGCCTGCCGATGCAGGGGACACAGGTTCGTGCCCTGGTCCAGGAGGATCGCACATGCCGCGGAGCGGCTGGGCCCGTGAGCCATGGCCTCTGAGCCTGCGCATCCGGAGCCTGTGCTCCGCAACGGGAGAGGCCACAACAGTGAAAGGCCCATGTACCACAAAAAAACCCAAAAAACTAGTCCTACTTTCAAAGAGTAATACCCCCAGCTGCAAATCACCAAGTATTATTTCCATTTAACAGATGAGAAAGTTGAGGCTTAGAGAGGTTAAGTGAAATATCTGAGGTGACCCGACTGGTGACTGACAGAGCTGAGACTAAACCCAGGCTCTGACTGCCAGGTCTAGGATCTTTCTTCATGTAAACCATGCTCCTGTTTCTGGGTGTTTTTATTGTTCTAAAGCAGCACTTTTTGACTCTTAACCTGTTGACTCTCAGTGGAATGTTGGTCATGTGATTAAGGTGGAAAGCCTTACCCCTGCCCTAAATGGATTACCCAAGCTCCCATAGCTGTAACTCTGATGGAGCCAGTATTTAAACACAAGGTGTATATGGCTCTCAGCTCACTGAAGTTTGGTTTAAAAAACAAACAGGGATTTCCCTGGCAGTCCAGTGCTTAGGACCCAGCGCTGTCACTGCCGTGGGCCGGGTTCAGTCCCTGGTCGGGGAACTAAGATCCCGCAAGCCTCTCCGTGCGGCCAATAAATAAGTAAATAAAAAATAGAAAACAAAGAAATTTTTAAAACACACGTATCTTTGCAAAAACTAACACATCTTGGGGCGATTTTCCTTTACTTCTCTCTGCTTTCATTCTCTACTGTTAGCCTGCACTCGTTGTGCTACACAGGTATGTAGATTTGTGCATGCATGTGGACCCATGTGTTTGGCCACAGGAAGAGTCACATTGCAGGGGTCGCCACAGGAGCCTCTAAAGGCCTGTGTTATGTCTGGCGCCACCCAGGTCATCAAGAAGAAGCTAGTGGGCTCCGTGAAGGCACTGCAGAAGCAGTACGTGTCCTTGGACACAGCAGTCACAAGTGAAGACGGAGATGCCAACAGCATGTGCAGTGCCCTGGAAGCCGTCTTCATCCACGGCCTGCACACCAAGCACATCCGAGCCGAGGCCGGAGGGAAAAGGAAGAAAAGTGCCCACCAGAAGCCTCTGCCTCAGCCCGTCTTCTGGCCCCTCCTGAAAGCTGTCACCCACAAGTGAGAGCTGCTGGGGGCGGCGGGGCGGGGGGTGGAGGCGGTTCACGTCGGCGAAGAGCTTCAGAGTGTGGGATGCTGGGCTCTTCCCTCCAGCCGTGCGGGAGAGGCACAGAGAGCCCTGTGTCCCGGAGAGGAGATGGTGGACTAAGCGGGGTGGGGGTGGGGGGATGTTAGACCAGGGCTCAGTGAGCCCCTCAGGCCATGGCCTGGGGCAGCGTCGAGCCCCTGGGCTGGGTGCCCTAAGCAAGAGCAGGAGCCTTCTTTGTACCACCCTCTGGCAAATTCGGTAGTTGCAACAGAGGTTGTGCGGCCTGCAGAGCCTGAAATCTTTACTGTCTGGCCCTTTCCAGAAGTTTGCTGACCCTGCCTTAGGATGTTTGCACATCTGTGTGCTACGTATCATACTTGTAACAAGGTAGGGTTTGCTTCTTTTTTCTTAAGAAGAGTGGCATCCAGCTAGAGCCTCTGAATGTGTGCTCTGAGACACTTGTCTTGCTGGCCCTGCCCTGAACCGCCTGGGCTTCAGAGCAGGCAGCTGACACTGTGCCTCTCGGGGCTATTAAATGCCACCTCCTGCCCGAAGGTGCCTTTGTCAGTCTCTAATCTTCCTTCCCGTGCTACTGCCGCTGCCCTATCTCAGGCTCTTACCTGACTCCTGGGTGGCAGTGCCTTTCTAATTGTCCCCCTTATCTCATTCTGTCTTTCCTTTGGTCAGTCAGCCAACATTTACTGAGCTTAAGCTGACTGGAGCTCCATCACTGGGTTCTGCAGAGTACGGTCCGCACTCCCGTGGAGGAGACGTGCACAGGGGTTGGCGGTAGTCAGAGGAGGGGCATTTACATCAGACCGAGGCATTCAGGAGCTGAGTTTGGTACACGTGGGGTCGGGTTGGGTAGGAACACCCCACCCTGAAGTCTGCGTAGCTGCGAGCACGTAACTTTCCTGAGCAAACACCCGTAGCCCACAGGCTCCCAAACGCCAGCCTGGGGTCTGCTTCACTTGGCTGGGGCCCCGGAACCTGTATCCTAACCTAGTTCCCCAGGTGATTCGGGTGCACAGCCAGGTGTGGGGAGCATCGCCCCGCTTTGCCTCCCCCGTTTGATACTCAAGGCCCTGCATTACCTGACTTTGCAACCCAATCACCCACTCTTCGTCCGTGTGCTGTAACTGGAGTGCTCCCCACTCTTGTTACAGTCTGTTGCTTTCCTACCCTTTATGCTTTTTTCTCCGTCAGTCCCTTGTGCCTCAAAGTTTCTCCATCCATCTTTGCCTCTTGTAGTCTCTCAAGGCCCAGCTCAGATACTACCCTCTTCTGTGGTGTTTTTCTTACTCCAACCCAGAGGTGATTACCCAGCCCTCACCCCAGCTCTGCTAACAACAGGGCTCACCTCAATATGCCCTTGAAAGGCGGTTTCCTGGACCGAGGGTAGGGACCATGACTTTACCCTGTGTCTTCGCAGCTCCAAGGACCTCAACCTAAAATTTAGGGGCTTAGCAGACATGTCCTGGATGAGCAGATGATGTCAGGGGCCGGACGGGTAGTTGTCATGAAAATGGCAACAATCCTTCATGACACTAAATGTAAAAAAGTTGGGGGTTTAGAGCTGAACCTTTCTAAATTCCCCTTTGAACACTGCTATCCAGGAGCTTTTCATGCCTATGTATATTTGTGGTCGTTGTTACTGGCTCTTGCTAACCAGTGGATAAAATGACATGTCCATGATTTGGAGTTGTTTCTTGAAAACACGTGTGTTCTCCACCTTCCCAGACACATCATCTCGGAATTGGAGCACCTGATCTTCGTGAGCACAGACGTGGGCCGCTGCCGGGCCTGGCTGCGGCTGGCCCTCAATGACGGCCTGATGGAGTGCTACCTGAAGCTGCTGCTGCAGGAGCAGGCCCGCCTGTGCGAGTACTACCAGCCCACGGCCCTGCTCCGTGACGCCGAGGAGGGCGAGTTCCTCCTGAGCTTCCTGCAGGGCCTGACGTCCCTGTCCTTTGAGCTCTCCTACAAGTCTGCCATCCTAAACGAGTGGACGCTCACCCCGCTGGCCCTCTCCGGGCTCTGCCCGCTCTCGGAGCTCGACCCCCTCACTACCTCCGGAGTGGAACTACAGCGGAAGGAGTCTCTGGATTCCATCTCCCATTCCTCAGGCTCGGAGGACATCGAGGTCCAGCACTCGGGCCATAAGATCCGACGGAACAGGGGGCTCACGGCCTCCTCCCTCAGTCTGGACACGGCCAGTTCATCCCAGCTCTCTTGCAGCCTCAACTCTGACAGCTGCCTGCTCCAAGAGAATGGCTCCAAGAGTCCAGACCGTTCCGAGGAGCCCATGTCCTGCGACTCAGACCTGGGGATGGCAAATGCTGACGATTCGGACCTGTCTCTGCAAGAGTGAGTACCCCTCCCCCACCCCTTCCCTCTCTTTCTCCTTCCTTCTTCTCTTCCTCTTGCCCTCCCTCCCTTCCTGGGGCATGTGATTGCCTGTCACTGAGCACGGAACTCTGTTAGGGCGTAAAGACAGATGAAGGGGGCAGGGACTCTCCCCCAGAGACTGGAATTGCTGGGAGCTGTACCTTCAGGCAGACTGGGGCCAGTGGGGAGAATGCATTTAGATGGGGCTCAGAGTTGGTTCCAGCCCCATCTCTGTCCTGGTGACCTGTAACAAGTTATTTAATCTCTGAGATTTAGTGTGAAATATTATTGTCGTCTTCATCTAGAGAGAAGGAAACTTACAGTTCAGAGCTCTATGTACAACTTCCAAAAAAGTGCAGTGAAGCACAGTGCATAAGGGTGATCTTCTGGGACCTCACAGAAGACCTTCTGGGGGACAGAAAACCTGAGTGATGCCAGGACGGGGGTGGCAGACAAATGGGGACGAGCAAGTGTGTGGAGGAGGAGGACATGCAATGACGAACTGGACTGGAGAAGGGAGCCTGGCCAGAGCCTTCCTTCCTTCAGGCTTTTTAACATTAATTTTTGAATAGATAATATATTTTTATAGTTTAAAAAAATCTAAAATATATACAGTGAAAAGACTTTCCCACTGTATTTATGTAACCATAATTATTAATTTCTTGCATATTTTTCCAATTTCTAAATGCATCTATAACAAATATGAATGTACAAATTTTAAATTTTTCTTTTCTTTCTTTTTTTTTTTTTGCGGTACGCGGGCCTCTCACTGCCATGGCCTCTCCCGTTGCGGAGCACAGGCTCCGGATGCGCAGGCCCAGCGGCCATGGCTCACGGGCCCAGCTGCTCCGCGGCATGTGGGATCTTCCCGGACTGGGGCACGAACCCACGTCCCCTGCATCGGCAGGCGGACTCTCAACCACTGTGCCACCAGGGAAGCCCTTTCTTTTTTTTTTAAATTGAAGTATAGTTGATTTACAATGTTGTGTTAGTTTCAGGTGTACAGCACAGTAATTCAGTTATTTATACATATATATAAATATGTTATATATATATAATATATATAACATTGTTATATATATATAAAATATATTGTTTTTCAGATTCTTTTCCCTTATAGGTTATTATCTTTCTTATTTCTTATTCCTTTCTTTCCACGAAAGCTAGTATAAATTATTCTATACCTTGTTTGGGAGATCTTTTCATATCAGAGCTTCTTTTTTTTTTTTTTTTTTCCTGTTACAGATTTTTCCATTGTATGAATGTACCTTAGTTTATTGAATCAGCCCTGAGTTTAATGGACATTGGAGTTCAGTGTTTCTATCAATAACCTGTGTATGTGGTCCTTTAGGCCTACGCAAGCTAGCTCTGTTCAGTAAATTCCCAGAAGCAAAATTGCTGAGCCAAGGAATAAATTAATTTGTAATTTTCACAGATATTGCCTATTTGCACTCCATCAGGGTTGTGCTTGTGTCCTCTCAGGCTTGTCAACAGAAGGTGTCATCAAACTTTTGGAAATTTGCTCGTCTCATAGGTGAAACATGGTAGCCGTCTCTGAAGCATTTCCTCTAGTAGGACCTGTGTTACATCAGCTGTGTTTAGGACCTTTCCACTCCTGGTGTTCCCACCCTTCCCCCCACCTTGGTTCAGGTCTTCACAGGGCTCCCACCCGGTGTGGGAATCACGCCAGGATTGGGTGTCAGGGACTGGCCCTGGAGCAGATCTAGTTTCAAGCCCCGTTCCACCACCTACAAGCCCAGTAATGTCTCGTACACGGCTAACTCTTTTTGAGGTTCTGTTTCTTCATCTTTTTCTTTTTTTTTTTTTTTAATTTTTATTGGAGTAGAGTTGATTTACAATGTTGTTTCAGTTTCTGCTGTACAGCAAAGTGATTCAGTTATACATATTCTTATATCCACTCATTTTTAGATTCTTTTCCCATATAGGTCATTACAGAATATTGAGTAGAGTTCCCTGTGCTATACAGTAGGTCCTTATTAGTTACCTATTTTATTGTTTCTTCATCTTTAAAATGGAAATTCCCTCATAGGGCTGTTTGAGAATCAAGTGAGATACCCATGAGTGAGATGCACACGTAAGAATGTCTGGTAGGTCCCAGAAATGGCCTCCGAACATTGAGCACATCAGATAGAATTTTCACATGTCAAACGGAAGGATTGGATATAACGTGCTGGGAAGGAGCAGCCCCCACCCCAGAGATGCTGGGCCCGTGGCGTGACTGGGGCTCAGTCACCTGTCTTAGCCCTTGGTTGTCTCTCCCTCCTCCCGCAGACCAGCCAGCCTTCTCTTTGTCATGTGCCTCGCCTTTATCTTTCATGAGTCTTGTGATTGGAAAATTCCAGCTTAAGGCCACTGAATCAGTGACCATCCACCCTGCATGGGAAGTGTTGTCCTGGGTATTCCAGGGGAACTCAAGGGAAGAGGGTCAGGATGTACAGACCAACACTGGACAGTGATGTGAGGAAGCGGCAGACACCACACACACACACACACACACACACACACACACGTACACACACACACACACACACGTACACACACACACACACACACACAAGCACACAGCCAGCGCCATCATTCTTAGAGCTGGGCTGGAAGTTTGTCTTGGAGCATTCACAGAGACCAGCATTTCTTAGAGTATATGTTTTAATGGTAAAGATGCTCACCAACACATAAGAGTTTGCTTAAATGTATATAACTTAAAATTAGGCATAAACACGTTGTGCTTAAAACTCTTACAGCTATAAAGTCAAAACATCTACAAACTGGGAATTCCCTGGTGGTCCAGTGGTTAGAACTCTGCGCTTTCACTGCCAGGGCCCAGGTTCAATCCCTGGTCGGAGAACTAAGATCCCACAAGCCTCTCTGTGTGGCCAAAAAAAAAAAAAGAAAAAATCTACAAATTAAACATGAAGTGCAAAACCCATAACATTCCAAATGAAACTTATTAATGTTTTGCAGAAGCCAAATTACAGTTTGCCTTGTGAAGAGAGGATCGACTGTCCCACATAGCTTCTTTTGTGCTCATTGGGTCTGAATTATAATTATATCCTGAATTATAATTATAATTATATCATGCATAGGTACAGTCTAATGGTAAAAAGTGTGGACTCAGGAGCCGGACTGCCTGAGCCCTCCATCAACCAGCTTTGCCATCTCGGGCAAGTTACTCAACCTTTCTGACCTTGATGTCCTCATCTGTAAAATGGGGATAAGAATGCTTCAAAGGAATGCTGGGGAGATGAAATGAATTTAGGTCTGTCAAATGCTTAGAGTAGTGTCTGACACAGCATGCATGCTCACTGGGTGGTGGTGTCATTTTACTGGTGTACCTGTGACATCCGTTCTCCTACTGCTTGCCCTCACATACACTGCTGCAAAACCTTGGTTAGTAATATTTGTCAGAGGTCATTGTCATGAGGCCTTCCCTTGGGGGAAATGATTCTTAGCATGTGCAGCCTACCTCTTTGCTTTTTTTTTTTTTTTTTTTTGCGGTACGCGGGCCTATCACTGTTGTGGCCTCTCCCGTTGCAGAGCACAGGCTCTGGACGCGCAGGCTCAGCGGCCATGGCTCACGGGCCCAGCCGCTCTGCAGCACGTGGTATCTTCCCGGACCGGGGCATGAACCTGTGTCCCCTGCATCGGCAGGCGGACTCTCAACCACTGCGCCACCAGGGAAGCCCTCTTTGCTTTTATTAGTGGCTCTTGACTGCCAAATAATACTGTGTATCACCAACACAATAGTCCGCATGTTCAGGAAAACCGCAGGCTCAGGATCACTTCTCAGGGGTACTTTATAAGGTGGCCATTCAGATTCTCCAGGCCATGCTTTTAATTTACTTCATACATAAGTATTTATAATACATATACCTTTTTTCCAGATGTTCTCTAAATGAAAGCACAAAGTTTAAAAATTTTCGAATAGTGGACTTCCCTGGCAGTCCGGTGGTTAAGACTCTGCGCTTCCAATGCAGGGGGTGCCTGGGTTCAGTCCCTGGTTGGGGAACTAAGATCTCACATGCCGGGCGGCGCAGCCAAAAAAAAAAAAAACAATTTTCGAACAGAAAGGTTTTGGGAAACACGGCCCTGAACCAGACCAAAGTGGAAGAACTGTAGTGGTTTCAGTTTCATTTCTTTTCCTTTTTTTTTTTCCCCCAGTTTCATTTCTATGTTTCATTTTCCTCAAAATTTTTAAAAATGTTCTTTCTTTTGCCTTTCCTTCAAAATCTCATCTCTAGCCCTTTTTTCCACTTGATGTACGTGTCTCTCTTATTCTCACTGGATCCTTCACCAATTCTGATGAAGCTCTGTGAGCTTCATTTCACCTTGACCTGGGTTTTTTGTTTTTGGGGGGTTTTTTGGCCGTGCCCTGCAGCTTGAAGGATCTTAGTTCCCTGACCAGGGATTGAACCCGTGCCCCCTTCAATGGAAGTGCAGAGTCCTAACCACTGGACTGCCAAGGAATTCCCCTTGATCTTGGTTTTGATTTGACAGAAGCTCTAATTGATCACACAAGCTTCCTGCTGTTTGGTGACATTTCTCTAAGCATTAAGTCACTGACTTATTCTAACACCCAGTCTACGCTTGTCATTAAAATCTTTCTTATAGGTTAGGATTCACTTCTAATTGGTAACTGTTTTGGTAATGCTAGTGAGTATTTCAGTAAATCTGTTCCTTTCCTTACACGTTTATGTTTGTGTATACAGAGGCTAAGCAGTCTTATCAATGATAATGAGGTTAACATTTATTGATCACTTTGTGCCAGACACTGTGCTAAGCACTTTACCTGTATTATGTCATTTAATCTTTGTCACAGTCATAAATGATGGGTGCTGATACCACATCCATTTTCCAGGTAAGGGAATTAAGTCCATGAACATAATGTTCACACTGTGGGGCCCACAGCCATGTGTTAAGCAAGGCCAGGTGGACTCGGGAGCCCCTGCTTTTAATCACTCACCACACCACCTCCTGGGAGCCCATGAGGAGCCGGGACCTCACAGAGGACCTTGTAAAAAGTCTGACACCCTAGTTCATTTCAGAAGGGGGCCTCGTGGTTTGGACACATATAAGTGGTTAGCAAATGCCCCTCCTCCTCTGCCTGTGGAAACTACCCCTTTCTTTCCAGAACTCATCATTGCCTACTCACTGCAAATTGCACTCTTGGATTTTTTGTGGGTCTGTTTTTAGAGTGTGGCTTTTAGAGCAAGATCGAGTCCCCACCTGCGTCCCCTCTGTAACTATTCCACAAACACATTTACAGCTTTCTCTGAGAGGTCATCTGTTTGTTTATCAAGATATGATTCACATATCATAACATTCACCATTGTAAAGGGTACTGTTCAGTGGTTTTCAGTATATTCACAAGGTTGTGAATTCAACATCTACTGCTGTCTACTTCAAGAGCATTTTCATTACCCGTAAGGAAGTCCCTTACCCATTAGCTATGAATTTACCTTTTCTGGACATTTAATATCAATCGAGTCATACAATATGTGGCCTTTTGTGACTGCCTTCTTTCACTTAGTGCAATGTTTTCAAGGTTCAACCACGTTATATAGCACATATCATGGGCAAATAATATTCCATTGTATGGATATATTACAATTTATTTATTCATCAATTAATGAACATTTTTTTCCCACTTTTTGGCTATTATGAATAATGTTGCTGTGAACATTCATTTACAAGTATTTTGTGTGGACATATGTTTTGAATTCTTTTGGGTAAGTACCTAAGAGTAGAATTACTGAGTCCCATGATAACTCTTTATTTAAGTTTCTGAGCAGCTACCAAATGTTTTCCACAGGGGCTGCACCATTTCACATTTCCACTGATAGTATACATGTGTTCCAATTTCTCCACACGGGCCTCTCACTGTTGTGGCCTCTCCCGTTGCGGAGCACAGGCTCCGGACGCGTACGCTCAGCAGCCATGGCTCACAGGCCCAGCCGCTCCGCGGCATGTGGGATCTTCCTGGACCGGGGCACGAACCCGTGGCCCTTGCATCAGCAGGCGGACTCTCAACCAGTGCGCCACCAGGGAAGCCCTCTCTGTCTCTTTTATTATAGCCATCCTGTGGTTTTGATTTGTATTTCACTATTGTCTAATGATTCTGAGCACTTTTTCATGTCTTCATTGGCCATTTATATATCTTCTTTGGAGTAATGTCTATTCAAATCCTTTGCCTATTTTTTTTCCTTTGCCTATTTTTAATTTATTTATTCTTTGAAAGCATTGTGCTTTTTTTCTTTTTAAAAATATTTATTTTTGTTTGAATTTTATTATTTTTTTTATACAGCAGGTTCTTATTAGTTATCCATTTTATACATATCAGTGTATACATGTCAATCCCAATCTCCCAAATCATCCCACCACCCCACCACCACCACCACCACCACTTTCCCCCCTTGGTGTCCATACGTTTGTTCTCTACATCTGTGTCTCTATTTCTGCCCTGCACACCAGTTCATCTGTACTATTTATTTATTTTTGGCTGCATCGGGTCTTAGTTGTGGCACATGGGCTCTTTGTTGCGGCCCACGGGTTTCTCTCTACTTGCAGCACGTGGGCTTAGTTGCCCTGTGCCATGTGGGATCTTAGTTCCCTGACCAGGGATCAAACCCGCGTCCCCTGCATTTTAAGGCAGATTCTTAACCACTGGACCAGCAGGCAAGTCCCGTCCTTTGCCTGTTTTTAAATTGGGTTATTTATTGTTGAGTTGTAAGAGCTCTGTATATTCTGGGTACTAGACTCTTATCAGATATATAATAATATTTGCACATTTTATATGTCATATCTAAGAAACCATTGCCTGATCCAAAGATATGAAGCTTTACACCTCTTTCCTTCTAAGAGTTTTATAGTTTTAGCTCTTACCTTTAGGTCTTTGATCCATTTGGGGTTAATTTTTTTATATGGTGTGAGATGAGTCCAACTTTATTCTTTTGCATGGAACTATTCACTTAGCCCAGCACCATTTGTTGAAAGACTGTTCTTTCCCCACTGAAATGTCTCAGTACCTCTGTTGAAAATCAGTTGCCCAGAAATGCATGGGTTGGTCACCTCTTCTTGTCCAAAATGTCTATGTTGTTTGGGGTTATGATGGTGTAAATAAGAGCAGAGCTCACCTAGAAGACAATCAGATGAAAACTTGAGTTCTAAAATCCTCTTTTCCATAACCGCATTAAGGGGAGTTTGATGTGTCTTCTGCACCCAGTCTAAGCCATTAGGGCAGATACGTGCGATGGTGAGATCTCTTGGGCTCCAGACAGCTTTCTTGCCACCAGAACCTGTATTTGCCCATGATGTCCTCACTGGATTCATAAGCAGAGGTGGAGACAGCAAGTAGGTTTACTTCAGAAACAGAACTTGGATTCTCGGAAGCCTCAGGAGAGGGAGGGAGAAGCAGCCACTAGCCAGTGCACATTCCAGAAGTCCCAGAACTGTGTTTGTGCGTGTGTGTGGGTGTGTGTGTGTGTGTGTGTGTGTGTGTGTACACAAAGGCAGTGACATTGGCTCCCCCGGCCCCAGACACACCACTGGGGCAGAACGTGCCAGTCCCATCAGGAACACATCCCCGTGTACACGGGCACACACACTGCACAGCTTGTATGCACTGTGCTCCAGCAGCAGCTTCTGGGGATTTGAGGCTTCTGTGGATCCACACCTAGCCCCTCACCCCGACCCTGCTGCCCAGGTACTGTTCCAGGAGCAAAGCGGGTCCTCACTTCGCCCAAGCCCGTGTCCCAGGGAGCGGAGTCTTGGAGCCCAGCTCTGAGACGTGCTGTTCACCGAGGCACTGCTGAGGTCGCCTTGGGGCAGGGACCGGCCACACAGCTGTCTGGCTGAGCCGGCTCTTCAGGCCCACCGTTAGCCTGTTCAGAGGCTGAAAGGCGGTCAGTTCCCATTCGCCCCTAGTCCTGTCCTCTGCTTTGTGGGCTCTGTCAGCTGAGATCCTGGGCCGCACAACTCACCTGCCTACCCAACCTGCCCAAGTCCCAGCCGGGCAGCAACTTTGGTGGGAGCGTCTGTGTGTGTGAGCTGGGAGCGCAGCGATGATTAAGGGGTTGGGGGTTGTTCTGTTTTGTTTTTTGTTCAATCACAAAACAGCAGTTTTCCACTTAGCCTTGGGCATTCTAGCTGACAAGCCCGTCACACAGGTTTCTTTGTTTAAAAACTTCCAGGGTGTTGTCGGAATTCAGCAAAGCCCAGGTGAACTCTGTGCCAACCGACAGACTGAGCCACGAAGCGGAGGTTCCCACGCTGCAGGCCTTGCTCGCCCTCCACGGCCTGGACACCAGCACACCCCTGCGCCTTGAGGTACCTGCAGAGCCCCGCCCCGCCCAAGCATCCCCGGGGACTCGAGATGGGGACCACAAGCAGGAGCCGCTTTCCCAGGCACCTGGCGCCCTGGGCTGGCCACAGCCGGGCAGTGCCCAAGCTGTCCCTTGGGGGAGCACTTCAGGCCAGCAGCCTCCTAGTCCGGTGAGGGAGGCGACCAGAGCAGTCGGCCAAGGAAGTGGCCAGCGGAAGCCTCCGGAGGATGATGGACCTCGACTGAGCCTTGTGGTCCCCTCGCCCACCAGTCCGGTGAGTGGTACAAGCTGGGTTTGGGGGGGGGGGGGCTGGTGAATGTCTCAGAGGCGGTGCGGGGTTTCTCCAGCTAGTGACCCCGAGTGGTCTCTGCCTTTTCCCCCTGAGCCTCTCGCCCTGCATGGTTTGGTATTAACAGCATTGTGGTGATGGAGCTCATGTTCCTTGGGGTGTGAGTGGTGGATGTGAGCCGGGCTGTGCGCCCATCTCTTCCCATGGGTGTCTCCTGTCATCTGCACATGGACCCTGTGGAGCAGGGAATTCTCACCCAACCTCAGACTCTCTTCCCTTAACCCCTGCCACTCAGGGGTTATGCCCTTATGCCTTAGGCGAGGCCCTTCACCTCACTGAGCTTTGGTTTCCTCCTCAGTACTTGTTATTATTAAATTAACATTTTCGTAAAGCACCAGGCTTTGAAAATACTCATTTTGCAACACGAAGCAGATGTCGGGCTGCACTGTCCACTTGGGCAGCCACTAGCCACGTGTGGCTCTGGAGCACTTAAAACGTGGCTCGTCCGAACTGAGATAAGCTGAGTAAGATACACACTGGATTCTGAGGACTTAGTAGGAAAAAAAGAATGTAAAATGTGTCATTCGTAATTTGATTATTGATCATGTTAAAATGAAAACATTTAAAATATGTATTTTAAATAAAATATATTATTAAAATTAATTTCACCTGTTTTTTTAAACTTTTTAAAATGTGGCCACTAGAACGTTTAAGGTGACCTGTGTGGCTTGCATTGTATTTCTGTGGGACAGCGCTGTTCTAGAATAAGCCAATCCAGTGTGTTGATGACCTGAGGAAGCCAGCTCTGGGACTGTCCTGGAGAGAGCCCCAAGGGTAGAGGCTGGAACTGTGGGCCCCGGGAAGCAGTCGTCAAGCTGTGAACCCAAGCTCTTGTGCCATTTCACATTTGTTCTTGGGTCATGAAAAGCAGAAGTAGGAATTGGAGTGCACGTGGACCCAGACACATAAAACCCAGAGCTCATCCTAGCCGCTGTCTGGGGCTTGTGTTGGGGATATAACCTTGCTCTTTCAGTTCCATCCACACACATCTCTCCTTTGGCCTGTAGCTTTCAGATCCTATAACTCAGGATGGGCCAGCACCATGAAATAGACTATAGAAGAGGCATGTCCACTCTCTTTTTTTAACAGCTTTATTGGGATATAATTCACATACCATACAATTCACCTAATTAAAGTGTATAATTCAATTTGTCTTAGTATATTCACAGATTTGTACAACCATCACCACAGTCTAATTTTAAAACATTTTCGTCTCCCATAAAAGAAACCCCCTACCCATTAGCAATCACTCCTGTCCCTTTCCCCTCCTACCTCACCCTGCTCAACCCCTGGTAACCACTCATTTCCTTTGTAGATTTGCCTGTTCTGGACATTTTACATAAATGGAATCATGTAATATGTGACACTTGTGATTGGCTTCTTTCAGTTTGCAAAATGTTTCATCCATGTTGTGGCCTGTATCAGTGCTTCATTCCTTCTCATTGCTGAGCAGTATCCCATTGTAGATTTCATTAGATGATGTATCACATTTTATTTATCCATTAATAAGTTCATGAACATTGGCGTTTTTCCTACCTTTTGGCTATTATGAATAATGCTACTGTGAACATTCATGTATAATTTTTTGCTTGGACATATGTTTTTAACCTTTTTGAATGCATACCTTGAAGCAGAATTTTGGGCTCATATGGTAGCTATATATAACCTTTTGAGGAACTGCCAAGAGCAGCTGCCTTGTTTTGTATTTCAACCAGCAGTGCGTTCCTCTACATCCTCACCAGCAGTTCTTACTGTCTGTTTTTCTTGGTTTTGCTTTTATTATAGCCATCCTAGTGGGTGACAAGTGGTATCTCATTATGGTTTTGATTTGCATTTCCCTGATGACTAATGATAGTGAGCATCTTTTTATCTAAATGCTTATTGCCACTTGTGTGTTTTCTTTGGAGAAATGTCCATTCAAAACATCTGCCCATTCTTTTTTTTTTTTAACAGATTACAGTTGTCACAGACTTTTTTTTTTTTATATTTATTTATTTGGTTGCGCTGGGTCTTAGTTGTGGCATGCGAACTCTTAGCTGCGGCGTGCATGTGGGATCTAGTTCCCCCACCAGGGATCAAACCCGGGCCCCCTGCACTGGGAGCGTGGAGTCTTATCCACTGCACCACCAGGGAAGTCCCTACCCATTCTTAAATTGGGTTATTTAATAAATGGAGTTATAGTTCTTTATATATTCTGGACACTAGACCCTTATTAGATAAATGATTTGCAGATTTTTCTCCCATTCTGTGGGTTGTCTTTTCACTTTCTTGATTATATCATTTGAAGCATAAAAGTTTTAAATTTTGCTATTGTCTGTCTTTTCTTTCGTCACTTGTGCTTTTGGTGTCATACCTAAGTACTCATTTCCTAATCCAAGGTCGTGAAGATTTACTCCCATGTGTTCTAAAAATTCTACAGTTTCATCTCTTACATTTAAATCTACGATCTAACTTCATTTTTTTGCATGTGGTTATACAGCTGTATGAGCACCATTTGTTGAAAAGGCTATTATTTCCCCATTGAATTGTCCTACTTTTCTCCTTTAAAAATTTTTTGAGGAATGGTGTATTTAAAGTACCCAGAGCCTCAGTGTACACCTCAGTGAATAATTATATATCATACACACTCTGTAACCACCATCCAGATCAAGAGTCAGAACATTTCCAGCCACCAGAAGGTTCCCTCATGCCTTCTGCCACTCACTGCCCTGCTCCAGAGGAAACCACCATTCTCACTTCTAGTCCATAAAGTTTGTCCTGTCGTTGAACTTCCTATAGATGGAATCATACAGTATGTACTCTTCTACTTGTTTGACTGAACACTATGTCTGTGAGATTCATCTGTACCTGTAGCCTGAAGCTCTAGTTTGCTCTTTTCCGTCATTCTGTAGTCTTCCACTGTAAGAATATATCACAACATTGTTATCCATTCTCCCATTAACAGACGTTTGGGTTGTTTTCAGGTTTGGGCTATTATGAAGAAAGCAGCTGTGAGCATTCTTGTACTTGCCTTTCAGTGAACCTGTGTACTCATTTCTGGGTGTACATCTAAGAGTGGAATTGCTAGGTCACTGGGTAGGCATATGTTTAGCTCTAATAGATACTGCCAAACGGTTTTCTAAAGTGCTTGTGCTAACTTATACTCACAGTAGCAATATATGAGCATTTTCATTGCTATTTATCATAGTCAATGGTATTATCAATCTTCTACACTTTGGCCACTCTAGTAGGTGTGTAGTGGTATCTCACCGTGGTTTTAATTTGCATTTCGCTGATGACTAATGATGTTGATACCTTTTCATTTGCTTTGTGGAAGCATCCTTTAAAGTCATTGTCTCATTCTTTTTTTTTTTTTTAACATCTTTATTGGAGTATAATTGCTTTTACAGTGGTGTGTTAGTTTCTGCTTTATAACAAAGTGAATCAGCTATATATATACATATATCCCCATATCTCCTCCCTCTTGCATCTCCCTCCCACCCTCCCTATCCCACCCCTCTAGGTAGTCACAAAGCCCCGAGCTGATCTCCCTGTGCTATGCGGCTGCTTCCCACTAGCTATCTATTTTACATTTGGTAGTATTTATAAGTCCGTGACACTCTCTCACTTCGTCCCAGTTTACCCTTCCCCCTCCCCGTGTCCTCAAGTCCATTCTCTACGTCTGCATCTTTGTTCCTGTCCTGCCCCTAGATTCTTCAGAACCACTTTTTTTTTAAGATTCCATATATACGTGTTAGCATATGGTATTTGTTTTTCTCTTTCTGACTTACTTCACTCTGTATGACAGACTCTAGGTCCATCCACCTCACTACAGTTGTCTCATTCTTAAATTGAGTTGTATGTGTTTTCCTTATTGATTTGTAGGGGCTCTTTATATACTGTGGATGTGTCTTTTACTGGAGAAAAACATATGTTTATAGCAAATATCTTCTTACAGTCTATGGCTGGCCTTTTAAATCTCTTAATGATATCTTTTGTTGAACAGAAGTTCTTAATTTTTAAAATTTATTTATTTATTTATTTACTTTGGCTGCGCCGGGTCTTAATTGCGGCACGCGGGGTCTTCATTGTGGCATGTGGGGTTTTTAGTTGCAGCATGTGGACTTTTTAGTTGTGGCATGCATGCAGGATCTAGTTCCCCAACCAGGGATCAAACCCAGGCCCCCTGCATTGGGAGCTCAAAGTCTTACCCACTGGACCACCAGGGAAGTCCCAGAAGTTCTTAATTTTAATGAACTTCAATTTATCAGTCTTTTTGTTTTGGATCAATGTGTTTTGTGTCTATTTTTAAAATCTGTGTCTACCCCAAGGCTATGAAGGCTGTGGAAATCCCTGTATTTTCTTCTAGAAGCTTTCATATTTTACCTTTTACAATTAGGTTTATGGTTCATCTGGGATTAGTTTTTGTGTATGGTGTGAGGTAGGTGTTTTCCAAATGGATATCTGGTTGACTTAGTACCATTTATCGAGTATGACTGTGTAAATCATGGAACTGTGTAAGTGTGGGTCAGACTCTCAGTTTTTGCTCTCTTTTTTTGGGGTGGGGTGGGCCTTGCAGCTTAGGGGATCTTAGTTCCCCAACCAGGGATTGAACCCGGGCCATCGTAGTGAAAGCGCCAAGTCCCAACCACTGGACCACCAGAGAGTTCCCCAGTTTTTGCTGTCTTGAAGGTGGCTTTAGGCCCAGAATGTCACAAGACCCTGAAGGTTGTGACTATAAAACCAGCAGCACACACTGAAGGTTGAAGAGAAAGGCTCTGAAGCCCCCACTCGAGCTAGAGGAAAGGGATGTCCCTTGTGGACAGTGGCTGTGGGCCGCAACAGGGCTCCCCAGCGTGGCCTTGACTGTGGTGAGTTCACTCCTGTCGAGGGTCTGGCTTCTGCTTTGCTGGCTCCGACATCCTATCTTGCCAGGGTCCTAGAGC